CAAATTCAGCACTGAGGATGATTGTAATGAGGTGCTCACTAACCAAGGATAGCTGCAAGCATATTCTTCTATGTGGCAAGTGGAGTAAGCAAACATCTTTTTTTTGATCACTTAACAGAGTCTAGAAATAGACTGAGCTATGCTAAGATATGTGTGGAGATTGATGCTTCTAAGCCTCTTCTGGACAATTTTGAGTTGAGTTTGTTCAATGGCAAATCTACCAGGTAAGGATGGACCATCAGTGAAGAACTCAAATCTTTAGGGATTGTCACTCCTTTGGGCGTATCTCCCATAAAAGTCTTACAAGAAGCACCCAACAAAATGATAAAGAGTACCCATCATTCTCTTGATCAAGCACAAGGATAAAGCCATTCTACCTTCCAGTTTTTGCTATGATGATTATGATCCCTTGTTTAATGGCAACCCTTCCCAAAAGCAACCTGAGAACTGTTCTCTTACCACTCAAACCCCCTTTAATTCTTCCTCTAAACACATTACCGGTTCCATTATCCAAGAGGGGCACCAGAGTGTTTACTTAGCAGACTACAGTGGTCTGGTTACTGTGATTAACCATGTTGTGGTTGGCAATCCTAAAGGTGTTACTAAAGTTTGTGAGCCGTCTTGTTTTTCTAACAACCCTTCTGCAAGGATTGAGGAATAAACCTTAAGTCTGCAGCAGTTGGGCGGGTAGTCACAAGAGTAAGTTTGAGGGATTCAACAACTAGTTCTTAGTAGAGTATAGTTGGTGTGAGCTTTTAGACAAAGTTTATGTAACTTTATGACAGTGGATTGTTTCACTCAAGACGGCTAAGTCTCCGTGGTTTGTGTGTTTGATTGTTTTAATTGGACTAAAAATTAAAATAATTGGAAAATCGGATAGAGGAGCAAGTTAAACCTATTCACACATTTAAGTTTTGTGAAGTTTAAACTTTCACAGTCACTTCCGCGTCGGGTAACTCACAATTTGTTGTGTTACTTGTTGCATTTTCATCTTTCATGGCTTCCATGGAAAGGTTGATCATGATTTGGAACCGAAGTCTTGGGTATTCCTGCGTGTGGTGAATCCCATTCATTTGAACATGAAGAATGTTTCAGTTAGCCTTAATGTCTACTCCTCCTTTTGGGCTTGGGCTAGTAGGTTAGGCATTGGCTAAGGTTAGTTATTTCTTTTGTTCTCTTTGGTTCTATCTGACAAAAAAAAAAGGGAAAGAAAGAAAGGATAATTATGCAAGACAATAATAAGTGGAAGAAAATGTCAACTTCCAATAGACTAATACTCTTGATTCATATAATTTGCTTTAGATCTTAGCTTCAAGTCATCTTTCCATTTTCATGGTTTGGAATTTAAAGTTCAATTTCACTCTTCTAGAAAACATTGAATTAGTATTCGGACCATTGGGGTATGTTGATGCTTCCATAGAAGTAGTTAGCAATTTGTTCGTATCCGACTTTGAACACTAGAGAGACTACCCGAATTGCCCATATTTGTTGAACATCATAAAAAAATAATCAATTTAATTCAAGTATTGTTCAAGAATTAGGATTCCTTTAGTATTAATGGAGTTGGAACATTAATGCTTCTTCCTGTTAACAAACATGTTTTAACTACCTTTTTTTCCTCATTGCAGGTTTATTGTTCTTCAGGGTTTATGCAAGAAAAGGTGTTGAAAGGCCGGAGAAACGTCTGCTTAAATGTCCGAAGGTGGTAGAATTCATTGGATTTGCTGGCCATGAGTTTGAAGTTGTGTTTGCCATGTACTTACTTGAGAATGTTGTGTCGCTAGAGAAGATAAAATGTGTGCTATGGAGCTGCAAACAAAATTACCTACAGGGGTTGAACTAACGATACTATGAAGTATCTTGGTCTAATGTTTTTGTGGAGGCTGTTCATGTCATTAAGTCAACATAGTTCACAACTTGCGTTAGGGTTGTGCTTTATAAGATTTAATTATAGATTATTGAGAACTTTTGTAGGTAAAATTTCAGGAAACATTTAATTGTTGTGATTTTGTATAGTTAATAAATGATGAGAAGTTCTGTACTGTTCATATGTAATCAAGTTTAACATATCTAATTGTCGATTGCATATGGATTAAAAAGTGTGAGATTATTTAGAATAAAGTGTTTTAAAAAAAAAAAAAGCTAGCATTTTTTTTTTATAAAGTATATATAAATCCATGTATTTTAAAAATTTATACCAAATTACCTCCTCAATTTTAACCAAATATTTTTATAAAAATCCCAAAATACCTTTAAGGGAATTTTAGGTATTTCTTTGTTCTAATAAATATAAAATAATAAAACAATAAATAAATTGGTTTTTTTTTTAATAATTATTTAAAAAATGCCCTTGTTTTATTATTATTATTATTATTATTGTCTTAGGGCATTTTAGGTATTTTAGTCTTCAAATTGAAGAATTGTTGTTATTTGCTCAATTTGAAAAATATAGAGTTTTTTTTTTTAACATGATTGGAGTAGGAGTATTTTGCACATTATGTTTTTTTGTTTGTTTGTTTGTTTTTTTTTTTTTTTTTTTTTTTTTTTTTTTTTTTTTTGGCACTAATGATAGTTAGAGAACCAACATTCAAATAAACATTGCTAAGAGAGATTTTCAAAAATCAAAGCGAAATTTCATCAGCAAAAATGGCAATTTCAATTTCAAATCAAACAATGGATGCTCTCGAATTCTTGTGGAAGTTGGTGAAAAAACTCCAAAGTTGTTGGTGTTGTGGACAAGTGACTGAGGACAATAAAACCCAATCTGGAGTATAACAAATTAACAGACTTCGTGCGGATGATAAGAAAAAAAAAATGTTTGCATTTTTCTTTTTATAACAACATAAAGTAAAGTTTAATTTTGTTAGACAATTTTTTTTTTTTTTTTTTTTTTTTTTTTTTTTTTTTTTTAATGAAAAATAGAATGGGGTATATAACATAACCTAAAAAAAAAAAAACCTTTCACTTGTCACTATATAAATCTTTCTTTTGATTTATCTCGACATGGCAGGTTTTTGTCCCCACCTTGCCCCTAATGGGGCAGATTTGGTAGCCCCCGAAATGGGTTTGGGGCGAGTATAGTGAAATAATTAAAAACCCGAAGCAGGTTCGGGGCGGGAGCGAATTTACTGATGAATGGCCTTGATTATATATGTACCTTTAAAATTTATATGTGTGTGTGTGTATGTATATATATAATATTTAATATTTTTTAAGAATTACTTTGCTCGAAGTGTCAGTTAATATATTAATAGTCACTACTTAGTAATTTAACACTTGGGCTAGCTGTACAATGGGTCAAGGTTTTTTTTTTTTTGTTTTTAACTACATAATAAAAATGACATAACCCACACTGCAATTAAATGAAATATGTGGGTGGAGTCGGTACTTTGTCTATTGAAATATGGCCGGGATGATATACTAATTACAAACGCATTTCGAAATAGAGATAGAGTTGGTATAATGAATTTTTTAACGGGGTGGAGTAGAATTTAGCCAACTCCTTCCCTTTGCCCCCCTAACAAAGGGTTTCTTCAAGTTAGTGGTGGACTATTTTGACTTAACAATGCCCCATTTTTTGAGCCAAAAATGTCCCTTAGTTTATACTATAATTTATACATATAAATGTATATATATATAATGATATACATGTGTTTTTTTTATTACAACCATATAAATATTAGTGTGAATAAATATTTTTTGTACCAATATTTACATATTGATGCATCTTATAGTTTTGTTCTAATGGAGAATGGATGTTTTTCATTTCCCTGCTGATTGATGTTATTCAATATTATATTGGGTATTGAATTTAAGGGAAAACTAGGAAATTCTCTGTATTTCTAACAGAAAAATAGTCAAAATGTCTTTCTTACTTCCACCCCTAGAAATATCAGACTCCGGGCTTTTAGATTCATCTGAATGAAAAGGAAATTTAACAATTATCAAAGAAGCCACTAGACGAAAATGAAAAAGTAAATTAATAAAATTCTGATATTGTAGTAAAAATAAAATAAATGAAAAATCTCTCTACTTATTTCCCAAGGTTCAACCATCCAACATATAATACCAAATAAACTTACAAGGGAAGGATGTACAAGCCATAGCTTATACAAGGAGGATGTAGGAGATATAGCTTATACAAACATATAATGAAAGAATTACCAAAGCTGCTCCAGCTTATACAAACATATAATTAAATAATTACCAAAGTTGCTCCAGCGGGAAGTTTGTTGCCAAGCTTCTTGGCACGTTTTCTTGCTACCTTTCTCTCTTTGGTCTCCATGAACTCCCATAGAGTTCCTATTAGAAGTGGCTGGCGAGAATCAAGAGTAATCTTCTCAAGATTGATAGCACTCTTAATTAAATACATTGCAAGCTCAACATCACTCGTAAGCCCAACAAAACCAATTATTTCCACCACCTTAAGGTATTGATGGGGCAAAGTTGTAAATATGCCTCGTTTTAATTTCCGAATGCTCCTAAACCATTGCAGCTATAACGAGGAGGAATGAAGTTACATGGTGGGCAGATGATTATTAGCATACAAAACCAAATTACCAAGCATCAAATCATAATTGTTAAAAACATGACATTGCTAGAATCAATGGAATAGCCACCACAAGCTCCAACAAGGTTGTTATACATATGACTGATAAAAAACTAAATTACCAAGCATCAAATCTTAACAGTAAATTAGAATCACAACATTGCCAGACTTAATGGAATAACCACCACTGGCGGAAATCGATCGCGTTAGATATAAGAAAACACTACGTTAGAAAGGAATTCACACTGTTCTTAAGTGCAATAAGACTGAATCTAACCGAATATGGTTATAGACCTCAAGAGGTCCTACTCTGGGAGGAGTTCTTGAACCATCATTGAAAATAAAGCAATCTAAGAACATGCAACATATTAAAAGACCACGTACAACTCCAAGGCGGTAAAAATTAAACCAACACGAGAACAACAGAATGAAAAACATTCAGTTATAAAATACTTGAACAAGAGAATAGAGCAAGCTAAGCTAAACACTTGTAAGAGCATTTTTCCTATTACTGGTTTTAATTTTGTAATAGCTATAAAGAAGCAATTAATTGAGAAATTGAAAGCTTTTAAGTTGAAGTCCAAATGAATCAAAATTTCCATTTGAAAATTCAATCACGAAAGCAATAAACCTCATAGATTAGAAATGCAGGTTGTGAAGTAGAAGTAATTACCTGGAACACAAATATAGACAAGAAAGGACATGCCTCTATCAGGGGAGCAAAAGCAAGAAGGCGTATACCATCAATTGAGCGAATTTTCAACTCCAATCGCTTGAGTTTATTTAATACAGGAAATTTAGCATCTTCAAGACCAAGCTACATAAACCAAAGAAAAAGTAAATCAGCACAGCTAAGCTAAAAAGTAAAAAGAATAAAATAAAAACGAAGGGGAAGAGAATAAATGAATCAGTTAAAACTTCCTAACCTCCATAAAGCTTGGCATCTGCAATGTAAGGCTTTCTAGCTGAGAAAGATAGGTTGAAATCTCCAAAAACTTGTATATTAGATAATCACAATATTGACCCCCAATAAACAAATCAATAGGTTGCTGGACATTCTTAAATGGCAAGCTTATTTTTGGCCCGTAGTACCTAAATGACATGAGATTTATAGCAAAAATCTCAATACTTTCCACATTGAAGCAGTTAATTATCTCCAAATGCTTCAATTTGAGTGATAGATCAGGAACTTTCAGATTTACAAGACTATAGGAACTTTTCACAAACAATTGTTCCAATAATGGACAGTTAGTTAAGAAGTACTCGAGAACTTGTCCATTTACATTGACGTCTGTCAGCAGGAGATTGGTCAAGAAGTTGCAGCTAGTAAACCCAAGAGACAACGAATGTAGGTAATTTGTAATACCATATGGGTTAGGAAAATTGTAATTATCCTCTTCCTCTCTACTCCCTGCGACACCTTCGGACAAGTCTAACTCAAGCCTTCTAACTCTCTTTTCCATTGCAAAGTTAACCCAATTGTCAATATCAAATCTACAAGTTTCATCAAGATCAAATTGAACTCTGAATTCATCTATAGTTGGCGCGTTGTGTGATTTCAAGACTTGATTAACCCAACTCAAATACAATGGCCTTTCTACTTCAATTTTCTTTTCTCTAAGTTCAATTCCAAACATTATATGTAAGGAATCAAAGTTCAAACCAGCAATGTAAGTCCATGTGTATCTCCATCTCTTTGATAGCAGACTTGTTCTTCCAGCTTCTTTCATTGTCAATAGTGACAAGATTGAATCGAGTATAACATCAGGAAACCCACTAATGTGATCCTCCAAACACAACCCTCCTTCGTCATCCTTCTCACTATTCCAATTAAAAATTAAAATTTATTATTATTAATAAAAATAATAATAAAAACTGTGAGAAACACCATAGTAACAAAATTTCTTCATTTATTTAAGAATAAAAAATATAAAAGAGATGGTCACTTGCGTTTTGAGCACAACATATTGAGGTGGTTTTTTCTATGGGATTTGAACTTACAGTTTTCTGCATAATTTAACAAATAAAATCTGCAGAATAGCAGCAGGAGGAGAAGATGAACTGATTAGAGATATAAAACCCAAACAAGAGAGAAAAAGAGAGCAATTTTTTTGTTGTGCATAAACAAACAAGACCAATTTTTGCTTGCTTTATTCGACGAGAAAAAGAGACCCGTTTTATGTACATTGTACCAACTTGGAAAGTAATAATACAGTAATACGCGCGTTTCCTGTGTCTTACTAGGATTAAGGCAACTTGATACCCATTAAAAATAAAAATTGATACACCTTTAAGGCAACTCGATATTTGGCACGGTCCTGGCCGTAAAAATAGAATACTCACCGGTTTTGCTGCAGGGCATATTTGAAAAAAAAAAAATTAATATGAGTAGAAAAAAATAAAATATAATATTTACTAATTTGTAAACAGTCATCATTGTTTCACATTGACAATTGGATCATAATAATAATAATAATAATAATAATAATAATTAAAAAAAAAACTGTGAGAAAATAGAAACACCATAGTATTGCTCAATTTTTGTAACAAAATTTCTTGATTTAAAAATAATATATATAAAAGAGGCATGCAAATCCGTACATAAGTAAAAAGATGAACAAAAGTAATCTTCCCAACGATGAACAAAAGAGGCATGCCAAGCTTTATTCGAAGTGGTTTGTGAGTATCAAAAGTAATCTTCTCTGTGTCCTACTAGGATTAAGGCAACTTATAATTCTATGGGCTTTTTTTCTTTTGAAATTGGGCCTTAATGTCTTGTCTTTTCTTCTGTCGGCCTTGAGATGGCGTGATGCTTAGTTTAGAAGGCAAAACAAAATACTTTCCCAATTATGAAGGGTACCTACTCAATGTTGATAAATAAAAATTAATTTGTAAATTAAATTGTCATATTTTCTATTAAAAAAAAAAGTGTTTGTCTATGGATACTGAGATATTGAAACCATTTCACCCGATTTGTGAATGTCGATGAATTTTAACTAGATAAAAGAACAAAATTCTAAATAATAAATAGGTCATTTTAAATTTTTTTGACATCGTTTGTTTCAAGGTAAAATATTCTTCTTGAAAAATATTTTTCTTTTGCAAGCAAAATATATATATATATTTTTTATTTTGTCGGTGTTTGGGAAAAGTCTACGAGGTTGAGATTGAGGTCGAGCTCGAGATTGAGATTGAGGTCGAGCTCGAGGTCGAGTCCATCGCACGGAATATGTAAAAAAACTTGTCGAAAATTAATGGATAAATTATTTTTATTTAATTTTAATATTTTTTTTTTCGTAAATATTTTACAACAACAAAACACTAAAAAATAAAAAAAAAATACTTTTTGAAAAAAAATTTATGGGCAAATAAACGGAGCCCTAGTCTTTACAACATTATTTGAAGTCAATGGCCTAATAATATTTTAAGACATTTTATTCAACAATTTTGTCACTCAATCTTATAACGTTTTTTTATTAAACATGTTTTCATGTTATTCAAAAATTGTTTTTGGAGAACTAAACTGAGTAGACACTTTGCTCCCTAACAGTAACGACCAATCAACCATCCTATAAAGTTTTACTGTTCTGCTATGGTAAGTCTTGAGCTGTGGAGGAACTATCAGTCAATAGGCCAACAGGGATTTAATACAACAAATAAGTCAATGGTTTGAGCGGCACATATTCATCGGTGCCATTGCATTAAAGCTTTGCTTTAGAGAAACTACGAAGTGTAAGTATGTTCTTCTCCTTTAAAAAGTATCATTAAAAAAAAAAAAATCTGCTATATAAAAAATATGGGTTTTTTTAATAATTTTTTTTTAAAAATACCCGTTTTATTATTTATTATTTGTCTTAGGGCATTTTAGGTATTTTAGTCTTCAATCGAAGAATTGTCCTTGTTTGAATTTGAAAAATGTAGAGATTTTTTTAAAAAATATATTTTTTCCACTAATGATAATTAGAGAACCAACATTCAAATAAACGTAGCTAAGAGAGATTTTCAAAAATCAACTGCGAGCGAAATTTCATCTGCAAAAGAACGATTGACGCGAGGATGATAAGAAGAAAAATGTTGCATTTTTCTTATTATAATAACATAAAGTAAAGTTTAATTTTTTTAGATGAACAATTTTTTATAGAAAATACATCGGGGTATAGAACATGACTTTGAAAAAAAAAAGGGTAAAGTGCATTAAACCCCCCTGAACTATATATTTTTTTGCAGTTTATCCCATCCGCGCGAATTGATTGACTGAAAGGGACGATGAAGCGGAGGAATTTGTTGTTGGGATCGATGGGTCTCCTATTATAGCTCCATCATAGCCGTTGCACCACCTGCTAGATCCGTTGGCCATATATAACGCACTTCTCTGCACCGTTGCGTCAGCCCATCGCCGTCACCGCCTTGCCCGCCGTTCAGCTCACCTTGCTCGCCGGTCCATTCCATCGTCCATTCCAAGCTCGCTGGCCCATTCCGTCATCTCCATAATCGAGCACACCGCCGTTCGTGTTTCGACCACACAGCTGTCCATAGTTCACCGCCGAGCCCCCTTGAGCTCGCCGCCGCCTCCACAGTTCACGGCCGAGTCAACCGAGCTCTCATCACAGCCGAGTCCTCCGTGCATAAGCCACCATCATCCGAGACCGAGCCATTCCGCCGACCTCGGATTTCTTTGGTCTTTTCTCTCTCTCTCTCTAGCTTTCTATTTTGGGTTGTGTTGGGTGAAAAATATCTTTTGGCAGAAAAAAAATGTAAGAAGTGTATAAGTTAAAACGATGCAGTGTGTTATAAGGGTAAACTAGTCTTTCAAAATTTTTGGTGCCAGAAGCTGATGTCATGGGGGTAAATTGCAACAAAATCATAGTTCAGGGTGGTAAATTGCAACATAGTCATAGTTCAGGGGGGGTTTTTTGTAGTTTAGGGAGGTTTCTTGCAAATGACCAATAGTTCAAGGGGGTAAATTGCAACAAAATCATAGTTCAGGGGGGATTTTTTGTAGTTTAGGGGGGTTTCTTGCAAATGACCAATAGTACAAGGGGGTTTAATGCACTTTACCCAAAATAAAAAATAAAAAATAAAAAACATTCATTTGTCACTGTAAATCTTCCTTTTTCTTCGACACACCCACCCTCAAATAACAGTGGGTTTCTTCGAGTTAATTATGGACCATTTCTTGAGTTAACAATGCCCCATTTTTTCAGACAAATATAATTGGACAAATTACACAAAGGACCCCTCAGGTTTTCATTTTGTACATGTAGATAGAAGATATCACAATATAACAGAAAGACCCTAAATTAACTGTTCGTGCTTAATGAATTGATATGAATTTATATTTTTGTCCTTAGAATTAAACTATTTGATTAATGAAAAAATTATAACGAATCACTGCATTCGACCGTTGAAGATGATGGTTGGCACTGGGTTGCCACCTATATTTTCTGATATGGTATTAGTGGAAGGCGGCTCCAAAAATCACTTCCTCTAATGATTTTTTATTCATTTTCGACACAAGATTCACTACTGGGATGATCCCAATTAATAATACCCAACTTCTTTCATTCCGAGTGTGGGAAGTTTCCTCGTGTGTGTGTGAGAATGAGCCTTAACCTTACCTTTTATACTAAGCATTGTCTCCAGACTCCAACGTTATATTTCCAGGAAGCTCCATTCTTGATATCAAAGCAGAATACACTGTAAGTTCCAGGAAGTCTCTATTATATCAATCAAAGCCAAATATACAATAAGCTCGATGCTTGATATCAAAGCATAATATACAGTAATTTCCTGGAAGTCTCTATCAAATCTTTTGGTATTTGAAACTATTATTAAAAAAGAAAATGGAGAGAGAAAATGGAGGCGCCGGCGCCGGCGCCGCCACCACCACCACCGATTCCTCCACCGTCAAAACCCTCTTCCTCTACCGATCCCCTTCTCTCAAAGGGGCAAAACCGTAACATTAACAATACATAAAAAAAAAAAAAAAATTAGATTTTTTCTTTAAGCAAATAGTTTCACTCTAAGGATAAAAATGTAAATTCATATCAATTCACTAACCACAAACAGTTAATTTAGGGATCTTTCTGTTATATTGTGGCATCTTCTATCTACATGTACAAGATGAAAACTTGAGGGGTTCTTTGTGTAATTTGCCCGATATAATTATACACATATACATGTAAATGGAGAATTGATATTAGTGTGTTCCAAATATTTACAAATGGATCCATTCAATAGTTTTGTTCCTACAATGTAATGGAGAATTGATTTGAGAAAGAGACTTTAATTTCCTTTCTCTTATTTATGTTATTGGATATTGTATTGACTATTGAATTTAAGGAAAAACTAGGAAATTCTCTGTTTTTCTAATAGATAAAAAAAATTCAAAATGTCTTTTAGATTCAGCTAAAGGAAAAGGAAATATAAACGATTAACAAAGAAGCCACTAAATGAAAAAGAAAATTAAATAAAATTATGATATTATAGTAAAAATAAAATTAATGAAAAAACTCTCTACTTATGCCTCTTCCCCAAGTTCAACTATCCAATATATAATACCAAATAAGCTTACAAAGGGAAGGATGTAGGAGAAATAGCTTATACAAATAGTTAAAGAATTACCAAAGCTGCTCCAACAGGTAGTTTGATTCCAAGCTTCTTAGCGCGCTTTCTTGCTGCTTTTTTCCTCTTGGTCTCCATGAACTCCCATGGAGTTCTTATAAGAAGTGGGTGATGAGGATCAAAAGTAATCTTCTCAAGATTGACAACACTTTTAATTAAATACATTGCAAGCTCAACATCATTTGTACGTCCAACAAAACCAATAAACTCAAAATGTGTTCTTTTTCCAAGGGGCTCACACCATCACAGCTGTAACAAGGAGGAATGAAGTCATATGGTTTGCAGACTATTAGCATACAAAACCAATTACCAAGCATAAAATCATAATTGTTCAAGTTAAAACCACGACATTGCTAGAATCAATGGAATAGCCACCATAAGCTTCAAGGCTGTTATACATATGAGTCAAGATCATTAACATAAAAAACCAAATTACCAAATATCAAATCACAACTGTTCAAGTTAGAATCACAACATTGCCAAACTTAATAGAATAACCACCACTGGCAAAATCATCTTCGACATATTTCGTTATCAGAGATAAAGATTTCCATCGGATAAGAATAATGACATTTCTTATCTAAGATAATGAATGACGACGTGGTTCAACAGGGTGAGGATAACCTTGGCATAATTTGAGAAAGTCAAATGAGCAAATCATATCCCCGACAAATCTGGTAACAGACGATCTCCTCTGATCTCGCACAAGCAGATCTCCCGCGGAACCAATTTGATTCTAATCGACAGCCATAAATAGGGCACCAAGCCATTAAAGAAGGTACGTGAAAAAAACCCCTAAACATGATATACATAATTATTATGTGATACGATTACAACTACTAACTTGATCGTCGGAGGGTCCTTGGCTAGCACCCCACCAATGCCATTTGAGGTGATGTCTCTTTGTTTTGCAGGTAAATGTTGTCGTTCCGAGTCGTGAGGATTTACGCATCAACACAGTGAAATCAATAGTGTTAGGCACAAGAAAAGACTGTGTTAGAAAGGAATTCACACTGTTCTTAAAAGTAATAAGACTAAATCTAACCGGATAAGGTTAGAGACCTCAAGAGGTCCTACTTCAGGTGGAGTTCTTAAACAATCATGAAAATAAAACAATCTAAGAACATGTAACATATTAAAAGACGAAGGTAGTAAAAATTAAACCAACACAGGAAACAATATAATGATAAACATTCAGTTAAAAAAAAAACTTGAACAATCACGAAAATAGAGCAAGCTAAGCTAAACTTTTTCCTATTTGGTAACATTGTAATTTTGTAATAGCAATAAAGAGCAATTGATGGGAAAATTGAAAGCTTTAAGCTGAAGTCCAACATAATCAAATTTTCCATTTGAAAATTCAATCGCAATAAACCTAACTACTTAGAAATGAGGTTGTCAAGTAAAATTTATTACCTCAACCACAAATTTAGACAAGAAAGGATATGCCTCTATCAGAGGAGCAAAAACAATAAGGTCTTCATCATCAGCTGCACTAGTTATCAACTCCAGTCGCTTGAGTTTATTTAATACAGGAAATTTAGCATCTTCAAGACTATTCGACATAAACCAAAGAAAAAGTAAATCAGCACAACTAGGCTAAAAAGTAAAAAGAATAAAATAAAAATGAAGAGGAAGAGATCAAATGAATTAGTTAAACTTCCTAACCTCTATCATGCTTGTTATCTGCAGCTTAAGGCTTTCTACCTGAGAAAGATAGCTTGAAATCTCCAAAAACTTATAAATTAGATAATCGCAATACTCACCCCCCGATAAACAAATCAATAGGTGGCTGGACATTCTTAAATGGCAGGCTTATTTTTGGTCCAAAGTACTTAAACGACATGAGATTCATTGCAGAAATCTCAATATTTTCTACATTGAAGCAGTGAGATATCTCCAAACGCATCAAATTGAGTGATAAATCAGGAATTTTCAGATTTACGAGACCATTAGATTCTTTCACAGACAATTGTTCCAAAAATGGACAGTTCATTAGGAAGAACTCGAGAACTTGTCCAGTTACATTGATTCTTGTCAGCAGGAGATTGGTCAAGGAGTTGCAGCTAGCAAACCAATGTAGGTGATTTGTAATAACATCTGGAATAGGAAAATTGTAATCCTCTTCCTCTCTTCTATACAACAAAGTTTCTTTAAAGTCTAACTCAAGCCTTTTAACTCTCTTTTCCATTGCAAAGTTAACCCAATTGTCAATATCAAGTCTACAAGTTTCATTAAGATCAAATTGAACTCTGAATTCATCTATGGTTGACTCGTTATATGATTTCAAGACTTGATTAACCCAACTCAAATACAATGGCCTTTCTACTTCAACTTTATTTCTTTGAGTTTAATTCCATATCTTATAGGTAAGGAATCAAAGTTCAAACCAGCAATGTAAGTCCACGTGTATCTCCATCTCTTTGATAGCAGACTTGTTCTTCCAACTTCTTTCATTGTCAATAGTGACAAGATTGAAACGAGAATAACATCAGGAAGTCCACTAATGTGATCCTCCAAACACAACCCTCCTTTATCATCCTTCAAACTATTCCAATTAAAGATTAAAATTTATTACTAATAATAATAATTTAAAAAAACTGTGAGATAACAGAAACACCATAGTAGTGCTGAATTTTTGTAACAAAATTTCTTCATTTATTTAAGAATAAAAAAATATAAAAGAGATGGTATCTTGCGTTTTGAGCACAACATATTGAGGTGGTTTTCTCCATATGATTTTAACTTACAGTTTTCTGCTTAATTTAACAAATAAAATCTGCAGAATAGTAGCAGGAGGAGAAGATGAACTGATTAGAGATATAAAACCCAAACAAGAGAGAAAAAGAATTGGGTCTGCACCAACTTGAAAAGTAATGTTAAATTGGGTTTTCACCAACTTGGAAAGTAATGTTAAGTTGGGAAGTACAAAGACTCAAACTTGACAGAGTTTCAAAAGTATTATTATGATGACATATTTGGTTGAATTTTTTAAAAGCATCTCCCGAGAAATTTTTTTTTTTTTTTTATAAAAAAAACACTCTTTTTTAGAAAATTATAAAAGATAACTTGTTCTAAAAAAAGAGAAAAAAATAAAAAATAAAATCCGTTAAGAAAACTATAAGACAGTTTTAAGTAGAGCAAATACATAACAAATTTCATGATGAAAGCACAACTTACAAGATCTTATAGTAGATTCGCACTGCAGATTCCTCGCACTCGCACCTTAAAAATCGTGTTTGAGAGAGACAGGGAGTTGTATCTCGTATGCGGAGGGCTCTTCATGTGGTGGTACCAACTTCAATTTTTTGTTTCCTGCGTCTTACTTGTATTCGAGCTCAATTAGGTTTGAGAGTGAGAGAGGAGTAAAGGCAGCCTCGAAAATAAATAAAGGGATTATTACATATAAATGTACTTATGGGCCCATATTTACAGTATTGTGAAGTCAAAGTCCTAAAGTTTCAAAAAAATGAAGTGGACCAAATTAATGATGTGGACATAAACTTTTACTGCTCACCACAATTTGTTACCTAAACTAACCTTTCACTTTTTAAACTCAATTACTATACTGTCCTCATTCATTAATATACCCAAAAGAAAGCCCATCCGTATAAAAAACATCACAATAATGAACCCACTTTGATTTCTCTCCCCACGCCTTTCCGTTAAGACTTTGGACAGTCTCTGGGACCGCAGTCAGGTATGGTTTTTATGGGGCTTTCTTTGAATAACAATCCTAAGAAGCAGATGGAAGGGTAGAAGAAAAATCTAGTTAGTGGTGATCGGCAGAGTTTTTTAGTCACAGTCACCTCGCAAAGGATCCCTGTCTCGGTAATCATGACTTACAAATTCGAAACTAAAAACGTGTGGATCTCTGTCCCAAAGCTCAACTATTTTTATTTCTCTATATCCAGTACTCTAAAGAGCAAAACAACTCTATCCTACGGGAGCCAATATGGCGTAGAGGAAGGAACCAGTTTTACATGCAATAATATTGCCAATATTCATGTAGAGGAAGGAACCAGTTTTACATGCAATAATATTGCCAATATTCATGAAATCACCTGTAAGGTAGTATGACAAAAGAAACCATTGTTCAAAAAATTTCTGAAGTAATAAAAATCATTAAGCAACCTATAAAATTTTTAAATGTAATAGGAACAAAAATTTATCTTCTAAACTAGAAGATAATTTTAATACCAAAATCAACCAGTGACTTGAATACCATTTATAATAAGTTACAACATAATTATAATAAATGGTTTCCAAATAACTTAGAAAGAAGAGTACTACTGCAGTAGCAAAAAATTAACAATGATTACAAAATATTCTATCCAGGAATAGGAGCCTTGCAGTTTCGGCGATTATGACCTGTCTCGCCGCATCGCGAACAGTGCAACGGCCTTACATCTTGAAATTGTGATTCAATCCTTTTAATACGAGGTCGTCCAGGGGGACGTTTTACTGCAGGAGGCCTAAGATGGGAAGCACTTTCATCATCAGCAACAGCAGTTGGAATCGGCATATCATGCATGGGAATTGAAGACATGAGATGTTTGCATAGCTTTTGTTGCGTTTCGACCTTAAACCATGGTTCAACCATATCATAAATATTTAAAGAAAAATTATGGATGGCATAACATGCATGTGAACAAGGAATCCCTGTCATTGTCCACTTCAAACAACTACAAAACTGTTCAGTGCCAAAAATCACCTTGAATGGCCTTCTGAGTCGGTCATATGCTGTACACTCAGTATTCGAAAGACGTATCAGACTAAAACCAAGTGCTGCCTTTTGCTCTTCTCGGATTTTCTTCTCAATACGCTTCCCAACCGGGATAGTCCACTTCTGAACATCCAAACTCTTTTGATATAAAAATGTGCTGAGTCTTTGCACGTGTGCATCCATGAGCCTTGTGATTGAAAAAACCCTCTCTTCTTTCACCCATGCATTGAATGACTCTACTTGGTTGGTGTACAATTTATCCCATTGCTTGGAAGTAAACTTAGCATTTGACCAATGTTCTGGTGATTGCTCCAAAACCCAATCACACAACTCCCGAAATAATCGCATGGCAGCTAGTGCATGCTCATACTCGTCGAGAGTTCGAGCATATGCAATTTGATCAAGCAATTTTTTTGCACTCTCTTTACCCTTACTCCTCAATCCTAATATTCGATTTCCAAGAATGGACGTAGAAAAATTCGCCATTAAATGACGAAGACACCATGAGTGGTATTGAGAGCCAAAAATATCTCTAATACAACTTATTAAGCTTGGATGCCTATCGGTTAAGATCGTGACAATGCGACCATTTAGAATTTCTTTCACCTTGTTTAAAAACCAATGCCAATCATCATCATTCTCAGTAGAAACGATAGCATACGCCAAAGGCCACAACCCTTCATTCGCATCATAACCCGTTGCACCAAGCATTGTGCCTTGATAATTGCCACTCAAGTGGCAAGCATCGATTGCTAATATGGGCCTGCAATAGTTGATGAAGCCTTGTATGGAGCATCCATAAGCTACAAACACTCGCTTGAATCTCTTATCCTCTGTGCACTCCCAAGATGTAATTGTGTCGGGAATTGAATTTTTTATCCGTTCGCACAACCACAAGACTAAAATGTAACTATCCTCAGGATTACCCTCAATGATATGACGTGCACACTCCTTAGCTCTCCACGATTGCATGTAAGTCATGTTAACTGAAAATTCACTCTCAATATTTGTGGAAATAGCTTTAGGAGTATATTTAGAATTGTCCCTGACCTTGTTAACAATAGCTCGACCCATTTCATTTGATCGAAAAACAGCTTTATAATCTGAAATGTCTTGAGCAGTATGAATGTGAACATTATTAAACCGCATAATTCTCACTAGATCACTACTGCCTTTACAACCAGCTGACAATTTCCATGGACAACTCTTAACATCGCACACAACTCTATAATATCTTCTGCTATTGTCCAAATATTTGAACCAAAAATGGTTACGAAGACCAAACAAAACGAGTGCATCTTTGAAATCATTTGGGCTTTTAAAAAGCTGACCCTCAGAATTAATTCCATCAATGTGTCGAAAAGAATCCTGATGTGCATTTGTTGGAGGAAGTGAAGACGTTGAGGCAAGACAACTTGTTGATAGATTGCAGTCAGTGGCTTCAACAAATTCTCTACAATAGATGAAAAAATATATTAAAAATCGTATAACCTATGCAATGCAAGTATTAATGTATTTTTTTACATATATCTGTCTTACCTCTCACTATGATCACTTGGAATTGTGCATGATGCCGTTACAGGAGTTGTATCTCCCACATATACGTTTAACATGCTACCACTCATTAGAAGCATCATTCTAAATCCAGATTTTCCTGTCATCCTCACAAGTTCATTCTTGTTATATTCTGTGGTATAATATATGACTTTACCACTTATGTTTGAACAAGAACATTCTCGTAACTCATTTATAAACGAGTCATACGTTGTTGTTGTAGTCATCATAAAAGGGTCCATGACACCGCCGATGTATATAATTTCCTCATTACCATTTTTTTCAATTTTTCCATCGAATCGACAAAAACATGCAACTTGTCTCTCATCCATTTCTCCAACTATTTTTGGATCAACTCATTAGTATTTAAAAAAATTAAGTTAAAAAAAAAGGTTCTGGAGTGTAAAAATGACTACGTATTACATAAAGATATGGCTGATGCTCGTGTTCTAATGACAGAAAATTAATCAAATACCTCTTATGCACAAAGTCAATAAAAAAAAGATGTTAGAATTTTACTTCCCCAACCCAAGTCTTCTTCCTTTCATCTATTAAAAACTGTTAGAAAATTTTGTTTTGCAAGAGCATTTTTGGACATCAAAATAGATTAAATAAAAAATAATAAAAAAAAAACAGATTAAAGAACTAAATAAAAAAATCAGAGCATAACATATTGTAGATAACGAAATCAATGAAAACTTACCTCAAACAAATTCAGATTGTAAAAGTTAATAAATTCAACATTTGCAGAGAATTGATGCATTTTTAGTGTGACTGACCACAGACAAAAAAAAGGGAATGCAAAAACAAAGATAGACAAAGACACTATTTTTAGTGTGTCTGTCATCAAAAAAAAAAAAAAACATGTTCAAACACTGCCAATATGGAAAACAAAAAATAAGGAAAACACAGAAGCCTCTTCACATAATTCCAATTTCAATTGTTGAGAGTTATTCAACTCAGGAAAATTCCACTTCCCCAACCCGAGTTTTCTTCCTTTCACATATTAAAAATTGTTGAAAATTTTGTTTTGCAAGAGCATTTTTGGACATCAAAATAGATTAAATAAAAAAGCAGACAAAAAAAATAAAATAAAAAACAGATTAAAGAAGTAAAAAAAAAAAAAAAAAAAAAAAAAATCAGAGCAGAACATATTGTAGATAACGAAATCAATGAAAACTTACCTCAAACCCTAGATTCTCACTTGAGAAAGAGTGAAGGAGAGAGAGAGGAACACCCAACAAAGCTCGGTCTACCCTTATGGCTAGTTTTTACACCGTTTCAGTTCATAGTGGAACTAAGGATTTCACACCAGAAGTTGCTCCAAGTCACATGAATATAGAGGGTTAACACATTCAATTACGGATTCCGTTCTTCACAGTCCACGATAGAGATGAAGTAGCATACGTTTGAGATGGAGCATATATGAGATGGAAATCTTTTGCGGCTGAAAGGGATGAGAGCGTTTGTTTGAGATGATGTAGATCTTTTGCGGATGAAAGGGGATGAAAGGGAATACGCGTATTTTGTGACCGAAAATAAACAAAGGACAAAATAGTAATTGTGTTCAAAAAATGAAATGTTAGTTTAGGTAGCAAATTGTGGTGAACAATAGAAGTTCATGTCCACATCATTAATTTGGTCCATTTCATTTTTTTGGAACTTTAGGACTTTGATCTCACAATATTATAAATATAGGCCTATAAGTACATTTATATGTAATAATCTCATAAATAAATATATATATATATATTAAAGTCAGAAACCAATTAGTTGCTGACACGTCCCGCCAAATTATGATTTATTATCCCTTTGGGCCTTGTTAGTGAAATTATGTAAGTTGGACCAAAATTATAATTATATGGGCCTTTCAGTTAACGAGTTTGGTCCCTACAAACAGGGCCTTAACCGTCTTGTCTTTTTCTTCTGTCGGCCTAGTGGTGGCGTGAATGTGCTGCTGAGTTTAAAAGGCAAAACAAAATAATTATAAAGTTAGTAAATAAATATAAATTTGTAAATTAATTTTTCAATTTTTCTATATATATAAAAATAAATAAATGCCTAGAGATATTGAAACTTTTTTACCTCTGATTTGTGAGTGTTGAATTTTAACATGATAAAAGAACAAAAAAAATTTGTTGACCAATCAACCGGTAAATAATAAATAGGTCATCTCAAATTTTTTACACATCTAGTCATTACAACATTATTAGAATTAAGTGGTCTAATAATATTTTATAACATATTATTCACTCACAGGACACCCTATATTTAAAGTATGTTTTATAGACATAAAAAATAAAAAAAATAAAAAAAAATAAAACAATTTTGTCTTTCAATCTTATAACATTTTTTTACTAAACATGTTTTCATGTTATTTCATAAATTTTACAACAAATTTTACATTAGCAAACATGCTTTCAATTACTATTGAACACACTCCACAATAAATGATAAATTTCTATTTTGAATGAAAACATAAACGAATGGAAGAACATTTGAAAGAAATCATAGAACGAACGACAAAGATGTGCAGAAATGGAGAAGACGTTGAAAGTCAACCATTTTAAAATTACTCTTGACTTTCGTTTCAATCAGATTCATTTTTATTCAATATCACTCTCTCACCATATTTTCATATTTTCTTTGCGAATCTATTATTTTTCTTAGTAATCGAAATTTTGATTATTTGTAGTTGATTTGTCCCCAAATACTTTCAATACATCCTCAAATACCTTATAAGTAAATTAGTAAATTAATTCATTGGTAGGTTTGTCAACTTGTCTGGGATGATTAATATTGTCATCACCATGTGAATTTGCACATACACATATGCATTATGCCTAGAACCCAACCCTGTAAGGTAGTACTTCTAAGCTGATCATATTGTGTCTATTATGATTTTTTTGCTTCCCATTGTTGATTGCTGGTCATATTCTGTCTATTATGAACCCAACCTGTGAGGTAGTTCTCCCTAAACTCTCATGAAATTCCTATAAGAAGTGGGTTACAACGATCAAAAGTAATCTTCTCAAGATTGAGCACTCTTAATTAAATTCAGGGGCACAGTGTAAAAAAAATTAAAAATAAAAAAAATTCAAATAATCACTACAATAAATATAGATTCTATAAATTAAGAGACAAAGAAGAAAAATTACTCAAAATAATATGTCAATCAATAAGTAATTTAAGAGAGATAAATAATTAACAAAAAATTTAAAAAGGAAAGAAAAATGAGAGAATTTTGAAAGGAAAAAAAATTGGAGTTTGATAAAAAAATAAAAAGAGAAATACAAAATTTAAGAGATAATTTTAAAAAAATAAAAATTTTATAGGGGCATTATATAATTTTTTTTCATATATACATGTATATGTATTATAATAAGCGGGGCAAGGTCAGGAAGCACGTGCCCCCTGGCATACACTGGTTCCGCCGGTGATTGCAGCGGTAACAAGGAGGAATGGAGTCATATGGTGGTCACACTATTAGCATACAAAACCAAATTACCAAACGGTCCAAACATCAAATCATAATTCTTAAAGTTAAAAACACATAATCAATGGAATAGCCACCACAAGCTCCAAGGCTGTTATACGTATGACTGGGGACCATTAGCATAAAAAATCAAATTACCAAGCATCAAATCACAACTGTTCAAGTTAGAATCACAACATTGCCAGACTTAATGGAATAATCACCATTGGTGAAACCGATCACGTTAGACATAAGAAAACATTACATTAGAAAGAAATTTACAATGTTTTTAAGAGCAATAAGACTGAATCTAACCAAGTAAGGATATAGATCTCAAGAGGTCCTACTCTGGGAGTTGTTCTTGAACAATTATGAAAATAAAGCAATCTAAGAACATGCAACGTATTACAAGACCATGTATAACTCTAAGGCAGTAAAAATTAAACCAACACAGGAACAACAGAATATATATGTGTGTGTGTGAACCAACCTTCTCTCATCATTTTCTAGCATTGTTTTTTTTTTTTTTTTTTTTTTGGTTTAATTTTTAGAATCGTTTTTATATATTTGAACCAAACATGTCATAATACTTTTGAAATTCTGAAAAAGTATTCTCCAAACCATTGCCCCTCTTCAAATTTACAACCTGAGTTAGATCTTTTCAATCCGGCCAGTGAATTCTCTGTCTAAGCAATTATTCTTTCCCGATTTGGGACCTGCAAAGGCTGCAATGAACCCTCCTAAAATTAGTAAGTTACCTATATATATATATAATTAAGTTTCAAATTTTAAGGACATTCATAAAAAATCAGAAAAACCTTCTTTTGGCACAGGTATTTTGGGACACTTATTTTGGAAATAAACATACAAAAATAGTACTACAATTGTTTATTGTGCAAAAAATAGTAGCTATTAGTTTCTGAAATTATCATGAGAAATAACTTATTTAATTTATTTTATTTCCCAATACTAATCCTAGTAAGATATGGAAAAAAAATAAAAAAGTAAATAGAAAACCTAAACCTATTTCCTAGAAACCCAATTTCACATCGCTTTTAACATCGTATAATCAAATTTCTCTCTTTTCTCCAAGCAAGTGACTTTTTTATTTTTTATTTTTTTATAGACAAAGCAAGCGTTCATCTTCTCCTGCTATCTGCGAAATCAACTCCCATAAAGAAAACAACAATATGGTAAAAAATTTACACCATCTTTTCACTAATGTATTTTTCTATATTTATTTTATTTTTAAATAAAGATATTTTGTTACAAAAATTCAGCAATACTGTGGTGTTTCTGTTATCACACTTTCTTAATTATTTTTATTTATTTATTCTTTAATTGGAATAGTAAGAAGGCTGATAAAGGAGCGTTGTGTTTAGAGGATTACATTAGTGGACTTCCTGATGTTCTCCTTGTTTCAATCTTGTCACTGTTGACGATGAAAGAAGTCGCAAGAACTAGTCTGCTATCAAAGAGGTGAAGGCATATGTGGACTTACATTACGGGTTTGAACTCTGATGCCTCACATATATTAGATGGAATTCTACTAGGATATAATACACATGAAGTAGAAAGGCCTTTGTATTTGAGTTGGGTAAATAAAGTATTGAAATCGTACAACGGTCCAAGTTTAGATGAATTCAGAGTTCAATTTGATCTTGACGAAAGTTGTGCATTTGATATTGACAATTGGATTAATTTTGCAATCAAAAAGAATGTGAAAAAGCTTGAGCTAGATTTGTCATATTGTTGGTATTTAGGTCCGATGGTTACGATTTTCTTGACATGGATCAAATCAGAAATAACCTGCATTCATTGTCTCTTGTGTTTACTTGCTTCAACTCCCTAACCAATCTTTAGCTGGCATAAGTGAATGTAACTAGACAAGTTCTCGAGTACTTCTTAACTAATTGTCCATTTTTGGAACAATTGTCGCTGAAAAAATCCAAGTGTCTTGTAAACCTAAAAGTTCCTGGTCAATCACTCCATTTGAAGCTATTGGAGGTATATCAATGCAAAAATGTGGAAAGTATTGAGATTTCTCCAATAAATATTGTGCCATTTAAGTACTTTGGACCAAAAATAAGCTTTCCATTTAAGAATCAGTTGCCTATTGATTTTTTTATTGGGGGTTGGTATTGCGATTATCTAATATATAACTTTTTGGAGATTTCAAGTTATCTTTCTTAGCTAGAGAGCCTTATGCTACATATAATATCCAATGTGCTGGTTAGAAATTTTAACCAATTCATTTTATCTCTCCAATAAATATTGTGGCATTTAAGTACTTTGGACCAAAAATAAGCTTTCCATTTAAGAATCAGTCGCCTATTGATTTGTTTATCGGGTTGCGATTATCTAATATATAACTTTTTGGAGATTTCAAGTTATCTTTCTCAGCTAGAGAGCCTTACGCTGCATATAATATCCAATGTGGTGGTTAGTAATTTTAACCAATTCATTTTATCTCCTCTCCTTGTTTTTATTTTATTCTTATATATATATTTTTAACATAATTAGGAATCTTTGCTGATTTACTTTTTCTTTGGTTTATACAGGATAATATTAAGTTTGCTAAATTTCCTGTATTTAATAAGCTCAAGCAACTAAAGTTGAAAGTTAGTGCAAGGGATAAACAAAGCCTTCTTGTTTTGGCTCCCCTGATAGAGGCTTGTCCTTTCTTATATAAATTTGTGTTGGAGGTAACAAGTCTTACTTTACAACCTGCATTTCTAAAATGTAAGGTTTATTGCTTTCGTATTTGAATTTTCAAATGCAAATTTTGGTTCGTTAGGACGCCAGAGTCAAAGCTTTCAATTTTCCCAAGTAATTGCTTCTTTTTGGCAAATACAACTATACAAGATTAAAATATTACTAGTAATTGGAAAAATGCTCTTATAGTGTTTAGCTAGCTTGCTTTATTCTCTTGATTGTTCAAGTCTTTTGTAAATGAATATATATCATTCTGTTGTTCCCTGTCTAAGAGTTTTACACTTTCTTGGA